GTCTGAGTGTTGTGTTGTGTTGTCTGGAGGTCATGTCTGTGTTGGTTCTGGAGTGTTGCATGTCAGGTTGTGTTGGGTTGTCTGAGTGTTGGTGCTGGGGTTGTCTGAGTGTTGTGTTGTGTTGTCTGGAGTGTGTTGTGTTGTCTGAGTGTGTTGTCTGAGTGTTGTGGTAGGTGTTGTCTGAGTGTGTTGTGTTGTGTTGTGTTGTCTGAGTGTGTTGTCTGGAGTGTGTTGTGTTGTGTTGTGTTGTCTGGAGTGTGTTGTGTTGTCTGAGTGTGTTGTCTGAGTGTTGTCTGAGGGAAGCTTGTCTGAGTGTTGTCTGAGTGTGTTGGTGTCTGAGTGTGTTGTGTTGTGTTCTGGAGTGTGTTGTCTGGAGTGTTGGTCTGAGTGTGTGTTATGTTGTCTGGAGTGTGTTGTCTGAGGTTGTGTAATGTTGTGTTGTCTGAGTGTGTTGTGTTGTCTGAGTGTGTTGTCTGAGTGTGTTGTGTTGTGGTTAGTGTGTTGTGTTGTCTGAGGGTTGTGTTGTGTTGTCTGAGTGTGTTGTGTTGTGCAGTGAGTGTGTTGTGTTGTTGAGGTTGTCTGAGCGGTGTTGTGTTGTCTGAGTGTTGCGTTGTGTGTTTTGTTGTGTTGTGTTAGTCCTGCCAACCTATGATACAGATTTATATGTATTTGATCTATTAATCTTTGTAATCACTTTCTGTATAAATTATTGTATTTATTTTATTTCTTGTGAATCTTTACCTAATCTAACCTAACCTAACTTGACCTGACCTGACCTGACCTGACCTGACTCTAATTCACTACCCTAACTTCAACCTCAAGAAAAAGGAATAAAATAGCAACTTTTAAGTATTATAAAATAGGTGTCTAATCTTTCAAAGGTGACCCCCCCAAAAAAAAAAAATATATATAAAAACCACGAAGACATTTACAAGTTCTCCCATGGTTCAAAAATACCTCTACAAATATAAAATAGATGAAACAAGGTAGTCCCTCCTAAACTTCACTTTACCCATTTTTTTTTTTCTTTACACAAAACTTTCCAACATTCATCCTAAAACATCTTCCCGCTGCAGAAAGTTGGTGCGTGTGAGAGATGAGGAGTGAGTACCTTGAGACAATACAAGGGCAATGAGTCTCACGGCGTCATATATCGATGTTTATAATTTGTTTTCTGTTAGGGTATAGGGGGAGGTACTTTGTGCACCTCTAAGCTGTGGTAGTACTCTGTGGTCGTTCTAAGCTGTGTAGTACTCCCCTGTCGCCACCCTAAGCTGTGGTAGTACCTTGTACACCATGTAGTAGTTCTGTCGCCACCTCCTAAACTGTGGTAGCCTCATGACCACCACCGGTAGTAGTCCCTATGACCACTTAATCTGGTAGTAGTCCCTATGACCACCCTAAATGTGTGTAGTCCTTATGACCACTCTAAACTGTGGTAGTCCCATGACCACCTCAAACTGTGGTAGTAGCCCCTATGACCACCTAAACTGTGTAGTAGTCCCGTGACCACCTAAACTGTGTGGTAGTAGTCCCTATGACCACCCTTGGTGTGTAGTAGTCCCTATGACCACCCTAAACTGTGGTAGTAGCCCCTATGACCACCCTAAACTGTGGTAGTAGCCCCTATGACCACCCTAAACTGTGGTAGTAGCCCCTATGACCACCCTAAACTGTGGTAGTAGTCCCTATGACCACCCTAAACTGTGGTAGTAGCCCCTATGACCACCCTAAACTGTGGTAGTAGCCCCTATGACCACCCTAAACTGTGGTAGTAGCCCCTATGACCACCCTAAACTGTGGTAGTAGTCCCTATGACCACCCTAAACTGTGGTAGTAGCCCCTATGACCACCCTAAACTGTGGTAGTAGCCCCTATGACCACCCTAAACTGTGGTAGTAGTCCCTATGACCACCCTAAACTGTGGTAGTAGCCCCTATGACCACCCTAAACTGTGGTAGTAGCCCCTATGACCACCCTAAACTGTGGTAGTAGCCCCTATGACCACCCTAAACTGTGGTAGTAGTCCCTATGACCACCCTAAACTGTGGTAGTAGCCCCTATGACCACCCTAAACTGCGGTAGTAGCCCCTATGACCACCCTAAACTGTGGTAGTAGCCCCTATGGCCACCTTAAACTGTGGTGACCTTGTTGACACAGTAAATATGGACGGATGTACTTGCGGGCAGACAAATAGTTTCTGGTAAAAGCATATTCTCGTTTACGGGACGAAGAACGAGGCGATAAACTACAGTCGGGTATTAAGGCATTTCTTACCCTGCCTCCTGCACAATCTCCATGTAAAGAAATATATACATCATACATCGCCCAGCTGACGCCAACGTAATCCACGAGACTGCAAATCCGGAAGTTTTATTGCATCTATATTTTTTCCCGGGACTAACAAGATTACCGCCGACCGTGTTGAAGAAATGGCCGTGTTAAAGAAACCCCCCCTTTTTTTTTTTCCTTCACCGTTAGAATTATTTCCCAAGGACGATGTCAGCTTCCGTAAGTTTAGGGAGTGTTGTTCTGTATCCATGATGGCTGTACCGTCTTCATCGACAAATACAAGCTGTCAGGATATCACTCCCACGATAACTCTTTGTACCGGTTGACCTTATTAACACGAGCTGAAAACACCAGTGAGGGCCCTTGTACTCTGTTATCTAACGAGGTACTTGGTAGTAAACAGGAGGTACTTGGTAGTAATCAGGAGGTACTTGGTAGTAATCGGGAGGTACTTGGTAGTAATCAGGAGGTAATTGGTAGTAATCGGGAGGTACTTGGTTGTAATCAGGAAAATTCGAAAAATGATGGTTTTAATAAGACACGGGTCACAGTCACTCATCTCTCTCTCTCTCTCTCTCCAAGTATTATTGACCATGACCGTATAGGTACATGATATGCCCCCGGCAGTGATAGTGACTAAAGTGTCAAACAAATTAAGATATAACAACATAATAATGGAGCAAACTGCAGCGGGCCTATTGGACAGTCCCGTTTACACCCAACCCCTATCGCTCATATATCCATCCAACCTATATTTGAAGTTATCCAGCGTGTTGGCCTTAATGATTATGTTCGGTAACTTGTTCCATTCATCCACTACTCTATTTTCAAACCAATGTTTACCTATCTCGCGCCTAAATTTAAATTTGATAAGAGTTCGCCGCTGGTTGGATAGTTTGAGTACCTTTGTTATATCACCTTTGTTTAGTCCTGACTTCCATTTATACACCCCTATCATATCGCCCCTCACTCTACGTCTCTCGAGGGAGTGCATATTAAGATGATTTAACCTGTCTCTGTGCTCAAGGTTCCTAATGCCCGGGAATAGTCTTGTCATTCTCCTCTGTATGCATTCGAGGGATTCTATATCCATTCTGTAGTACGGTGACCAAAGCTGAACTGCATAATCCAAGTGAGGTCTCACAAGCGCAACACATAGTTTTAGGATGACTTCGCTAGTCTTAACTAACACTCCTCTGTATGAACCAAAGTACTTTGTTAGTCTTGTTTCAAGCAAATACACATTGTTGACTTAGTTTAAGATTCCTACTTATTATTGCCCCTAAATCTTTCTCACAGTCGGATTTCTCTACATCGACGTTGTTCATCTGATATCTGGTTTCTGTACATCTCCTAGGATAAGTACTTTATATTTGTCCACATTAAATTTCATCTGCCATTTTTCAGACCATGCGAATATTTTTTTTTTTAGATCTTGTAGTTATGCGGAATCCTCGTCAGATTTAATTACAAAGCCTATATTAGTGTCGTCAGTAAATTTACTAATGTTGCTGTCTACGTCTATATCTATGTCGTTTATGTATATAATAAATAGTAATGGTCCAAGTACTGAGCATTGGGGTACTCCATTAGTGACGTTACCCCAATCGGATGAAGTGGCATTAATGACTCTGTTTACTGTCCTGTAACCACACCCTAATCCATTTTAGACTAACTCCTCCAATGCCACGAGCCTCCACTTTATGTATAAGTCTTTCGTGGGGGACTCAGTCGAAGTCTTTGCTAAATTCGAGGTAAACCACATCATAATCGTGTCCGTCATCCACTGATTCGGAAACAATTGAAATGAATGATAATAGATTTGTCAAACATGAACGCCCACTTTTGAAGCCATGCTGGGAATCATAAATTACTGCCGAGGGATATAGGTCAGGGTTGTAGTGGAGACATACCCAAGTAAGAAGAGAGAGATAGAGAGAAAGAGAGTGAGAGAGAGAGGAGGAGGAAGAGTAATGAAGATGAAGAACAAGAGAAATAAAGAAAAATAAAGAAACATAAAGAGATAGAATGAGAGAAGTGGAATGGTTAAGTTTTGATGTCTTAGATTTTCGTGGCTTTTTTAAGGTTTTCTCGGCATAAATTAAAATATTATTCAAACTTTTGCATCATTAAAAGTCCCATTGAGTTGGTTAATTAAAAATATAATATTCATTGTCACGTAAATATTGATGTACTCCGGAACTCACTTGGCACTCTTAGGAGAGAGATGTTGGTATTTTTTGGCAGGAGAGAAATACACTTGTAGCAACATCTGTGTGGGAGAGGAGTAGAAGGGGAGGAAGAGGGGAGGAGGAGGAATAGGAGGAGGAGGGAGAGGGAGAGGATATAGAGAGGAGGAGGAGAAGGAGGGGTGGGGGGGGGGGGATGGGGAGGGAGGAAGGGGGAGGAGGGAGGAGGGAGGATGGGGGGAGGGTAGCAGGACCGGGGTGAGCCATACCATCAAGGCGTGTGTGTCTTGTTGTCACGCGCCCGACCTATCAATCAGCCTCCCCTCCACCTCCCCACACAACCCCCCTCCTTCCTTCCCCCATCCCCCAACTTTTCCCCTCCCCACACACAACCTGGACCCTCCCCCACACAACCTGGCCCCCTCCCTCCCCAACCCATAAAATCAAGTAAATAATTTCAATATTCAACTTGCAATAACTCCCACATTGCATTATATTCAGCCTCTGATACTCGACAGCATTACAACATTTGTATTAAGAAACATCTATGTTATCTCGTATATAATATGTCATCCATCAGTCAGGACAAGGCTTCTGAGTTCAAACCCACGTTAATGAGGGTTACGTCCGCGAGGCTGCAGCTGCCCGTGTGAAATGTAATTTTATCATGGCCGCCACACAAGTAAAATGACAGAGCTGAGCATTTAAGAAATTATTAATGTTGAGAGTAAATGTCCGGCTTAGCCACTAACGAGGTCACGACCAGACAAGGTGAATGAAGAACTGTGTTGGACAATTCCCCTTGAAAAGTGATTGTTTGTACTCATTTGAGACACACACACACACACACACACACACACACACACACACACACACGGCTGTTGTATGTAGCACAATCTGAGACTCCTGGAGAACGTGTAACCAAAATCTAGAGAAGTAGTGAGCAGAACAGAGACTTCACCTGACGGGAGAAATATGAACTTCGACCTTGACTGATGATATTTACGTTTTTTCTTACACAACACGTACCCGGACTACTGCCGAGTTGAACCAAAAAAAGGTCACCATCATAGGGAAAGAGAAGGTCAGCCCAGAACACTTTTCTAGGCATGGGTCCAACGTATTCATCCCTGGGTTCCAACTCTTAATATTCTACTTCTCCCGAGCCAGTTTTAAACCCAGTCCTAGTCTCTCAACAACAACAACAACAACAACAACAATAATAATAATAATAATAATAATAATAATAATAATAATAATAATAATAATAATAGTAATAGTAATAATAATAATAATAATAATAATAATAATAATAATAATGATAACAAAACAACAACAATAATAATAATATAAACTATAATTTAAAAGTTCTTCACCCGCCATTACAGGGTTACCATTTACTTCTGCTTCCAATCATTATTCTACTTCTGGTTCCAATGTTTTTTTTTTTTCATAGTTTTTATTGCCGTCTTTAAGTCCTGTTTCTGACTCCTTTTCCTAAAATTCCTTAACTTTCTTTTTCGTTCGCCCTCCTTCAGGCATCATCACTCCCAAACTCTTCCACACCTCTGTTGGCTCTCCTTCCATCTCCCCTTCGTCACTTCTCCTCACAGCTAATACAGGTTCTGGCTCTGTTTCCAGGCCACCTTGCAGCCATAACTCAAGCAATATTTCCAATATGCTTCCAGATCAAATTTCCAGCACCTGATTCCAGTCCACGCTCCAGCAACTGCCTCCAGCCCACGTTCCAGCACCTGCCTACAGCCCACGTTCCAGGACTTGCCTCCAGCTCACGTTCCAGGACTTGCCTCCAGCCCACGTTCCAGCACCTGCCTCCAGCCCACGTTCCAGCACCTGTCACCATTCCACGTTCCAGCACCTGTCACCATTCCACGTTTCAGCACCTGTCACCATTCCACGTTTCAGCACCTGTCACCACTCCACGTTTCAGCACCTGTCGCATTCCACGTTCCGCTGTCGCATTCCCGTTCCAGCACCTGTCACCATTCCACGTTCCAGCACCTGTCACCATTCCACGTTCCAGCACCTGTCACCATTCCACGTTCCAGCACCTGTCACCATTCCACGTTTCAGCACCTGTCACCACTCCACGTTTCAGCACCTGTCACAGCCCATCTTCCATCACTTCTCCTTCCATTTAGCATCCGCGATCCCAGCAGTTCCGACAACTTCTGACGCTGGGTCCACAGTATTAGAGTAGCGGCATCAAGCCTTCACCCACCACAAATTCCCAACACAATCAAATTTGCCGCACAGACCCCACGTATAAAACCCAGATCTGTGAATATCTGAGAAGTGGAGAACCCGCCCCCAACCCCCTAGACCAAGAAGCAATTACATGATTGGTCGTCGCGAGGTAAAGGTAGGGAGAGGAGGAAGACAGAGAGGAAATTAAGTGGAGAAAAAAAGGGAAGGTGAGGAGTGGAGAAGGTGAGGTGTGAGGGAAATGAGGGGTGAGAGATGGAGGAGGGGAAGGAAGGAGGAGGAGGGACAGGAGAACGGAATGAGAGATTGAACAAAGAAAAAGAGAGTGGAGAGAGATTGGAAAGCAGCGATTAAAAAAAGATAGATAAATCGAGAGAGAGAAAAATAAAGAGAGATTAAGAGCGAGAGGAAATAAGAGAGAGAATGAGAAAGAGAGGAATCAAAAACATCTCCCTCGGCACCATCTGATCTGGGTTTAACTTAAGGCATGATGGGAAGACTCGGGAAGCACCATGTTATCTCTTTAAACAAACATTGTACCTAGGATAAGCCTCATACCTGCCAGCTAGCTTCCTGGGGTAGTTTATATCGCTCGTCTTTATATAACGTGTCATCTATAGTGGATAAGTTAAGGTCTGATATACACTGTTTATAGTGGTGACGTATTAATAGAGCATTTATATGTACAGTAAGGGAGAATAACAAAAAATATTGACGTATTATCGCTGCTTCATTTAAGTCATTGGCTTAATTTTGTATTGTGGATCGAGTTATTTTGTAGGAACACCTGAAAGTTTGCCCCCTAAATTTATTTCACCTGAATATTAGCCCCGGCTTAGTTCACATGAAGAGTAACCACCCTAACCTAACCCCCCCCCCGAGGCACGTATTGAAGCACTGATGAATACCTATATAGACTATGGTTAAAGGTCACCTGTTATAAACACTTGACGGGAATATATGTAGACTGTAGAGGTATATATTAATCATATAATGTAAACAATGAACTTACTATTTCCCAAGACTAATAAAACAATACAAATTATCATATATATAAGTTCAGCTCCTTTATTCTGAGTGAAATAAATAATATAATCATTAAATTAAGAACTGTATCGTATACACTTTACTGAGACGATGGCTGCTTACAATAAAACAACTTATGATAAAAGAAATCTAAAACACAAAATCTAAAATTAAATAAAAATATATATAAGATTTCCTTCGCCATCTCTTTCCTGTAATGTCCATCTAAATGTGATGTATAGGCCAGCAACTTAATTATGGTATACGACACACCTTGATATACCTGTACGTTCATAGCCTCAAAAAACTCAAAGTAAAAATATAAAGAGTTACGACCTGAAGCAGACTTTTCCTTTGATGTCCAACCAGGTGTAAAAATGTAGGTCACAGTGGACTAATTAAGGTGGCCGGAGGAGGAGGGGTGGAGGGGGGGGGAGGGGTGTGTGATGTACAGGTGTTCAAGGAAACATGGTGGTGGTGGTGGTGGTGGTGGTGGTGGTGGTGGTGGTGGAGTAAAATGGATGCAAAGGCGAGGCCGAAATGTGTGTTGGTAGTGGTGATGATGGAGGAGAACAAGAAGAACAAGAAGAACAAGAAGAACAAGACGATGAAAAACAAGAAGAAGAAGAAATCATTGACAACACCCAGGTCACCATTGAGAACAACCTCTATAAGAAGACCCAAAACAGCATTAAGTGTGTGGCAAGTGTAAGTGGTTGGTGTCCACTTATATACAGTACACTCCCAGCTGTATGTGACAGAGTCCTCACTTCTTTTACACCTCATGGAATTTACCGGATTATAGTTAGTCAAACCTAACCGAACCTAACCTAACCTAACCTAACCTAACCTAACCTAACCTAACCTAACCAACCACTTTATTTCTAGTTTTTCTCTAAATATTCCTCGCTATTTTTCCCTATCTTACTTAAAGGCATTCATGTCAAGATCAACATATTGGGAAAGCCTCCAAAGATTCATGGAACACAGACGAGAGACAAAGACCACAGTTTACAGCACAGAAAATACTTAAAAGTCTGGTTCCTCACTTAAAACACACTTAAGAGTACATACTGGAGTGTTAAGTAGGGAATACACAACACACTCTCTGGTAAGTAGGAATGAGGCAATTGATCGGATAACACAGGACTAATCGACGTACTGGAACCTTGTTGAACTCGTTACAAGAAAATATTAAGTTTATCGACGGGAGAATCAATATAAATTTTCAAACACGAATTAGATTACCATATTTCTCCTCAATGTACTCAAGGTCCAAAATGCCAAAATGTAGCTTTACGATTTTGTGAGACATTATGACACAACGGACGAAGGATTTTGACAACCCTACCGAGACAACAGGAGTCACAGTGTTCATTATGAAATTCATCGGACCTCTCCTTAAAGATACTTTTTGGAGTGAGTCGTGGAGGTGACGAGCAGTAACACCTTATAGTTGATCAAGCTGCAATTGGTGAGGCTTGAGAGCTAACCAACCGGCAGGGTAGTTAAGTCAGATCACCCAATGGGATGAACGCCAGGTACACAGCCGCCAAGTTACGAGTTAACTACGTCTGCTAATTACCCTGTTAAGCGAATATGGTGTTTAGTAATGCCATATCAACCACGTCAAGAGTACCGTGATCACACCTAGTACCGCCGTAAACACCATCAACATGACCAGCACTACCAACATTATTACTGGGCGGTGTTAGTGGCGTCATCATGACCAATGAGAGAGGAGCATCACCACGACCTGTTGGAGGAGGAGGAGGAGGAGGAGGAGGAGGAGGAGGAGGAGGAGGAGGATGAGAAGGAAGAGGAGGAGGAGGAGGAGGAGGAGGAGGAGGAGGAGGAGGAGGAGGAGGAGGAGGAGGAGGAGGAGGAGGAAGAGGAGGAGGAGGAGGAAGAGGAAGAGGGAAGGGAGGAGGAGGAAGAGGAAGAGAAGAGGAGGAGGAGGAGGAGGAGGGAGGAAGAGGAAGAGGAGGAGGAGGAGGAGGAGAAGGAAGAGGAGGAGGAAGAGAAGAGTTTATGCTAACTCTAGCTCTAACTCTAACACTCACCTGTTAACGCCAATCTAAACCTAACCTTAACACTAACCCAACCAAAATAACCCAACTAAGCCCAACCCAGCCGACACAAGACTCACTGTACTGAACATGGTGACATCCACGCCTCAGACCCACTATGTCAAGTCCCATCCAGACGACTAGACACATACAAGAGAGGGATTAAACTAACACTGAGGGATGATACACTGGACATGAAGGGGGATTTAACCCCATACCAAGAGAGTGAGTCCCACAATCCCCCCCCCGTCTAACCAAAGAGGAATAGGATCTAGGTATATTTTTGTTCCCGTGTTTACTATGAAATAATACAGGGTGTCCCAAAATTTAGCACACGTAGTAATCAGATTTTAACATTTCCCGTTAATTCACCAAACGTTCAAATTACCCATCATAAACTAATTACGTCGATACATGAACACAACCTTTTGGGCCACTCTGTTCATTAGTGTCCGTATACCTGTGTGTAATTAACAAACCAATGTACGCTGGTAATAGTACACCTGAGTACTTCAACACCACACCAATTTCTCCGTGTATGTTTTAACCATTCGCCTATGTATGATTATCTTTATGTATTTACCATAACAAAACATCTAAGTATGATTAAATGTGTATATTTAGTACTTGGGTTTATCTTAGTATGATTATTTTTGTATATCTAACTTAACACTACAGCAAATACCAACATGGAAAGTATGACAATATTTTCCCTAATACATAGTTTTCCCAATACAAATATTCCCCAACATACGTTCTCCCAGCACGCATTTCCCCCAACAATACCGCTATTCCCCAAAGCTCTCTTATTTTAAATTCAATTCTATTCCTCCTCCTCTGGTGGGGAAACTTTTCGCTGGCGGGGAAACTTTTCGCTGGCGGGGAAAAGTACGAGTAAAGTTTTTTTTCTAAGGACGAAGAAAAAGATCGCCTCAGTTCCTACTCTGGAAAAATTTACTGTAACTTTCTATCTGTTTTCGTATCACCTGAAGATTAATCCTATATCTAACCTTACCCACCATAACCTAACCTAACTTAACCTAACTCTAACCTGACCTAATTTAACTTGCACTATCGCTAACCTAACCTAACCAGACACCCAAAGTAGCATTAGGGTGTTTAATCTTTAGGTAAAATAAGTTCTAATCTTCAGGTAATCTATGTTTACCTATGCAAATGCAGGTGAGCATTGTTTCATCTTCTATGTAAACAACAGGTGTTCACTTTGCACCTTTTCAACATTTACAGTACATAACTCTCTCTCTACACCTTCCAGTCCACGGCTACACACTCTAGTACACACCTACACCCTCTAGTACACACCTACACCCTCCAGTACACACCTACACCCTCCAATACACACCCACACCCTCTAGTACACACCCACACCCTCCAGCACACACCCACACCCTCCAGCACACACCTACACCCTCCACACACCCACACCCTCCAGTACACACCCACACCCTCCAGTACACACCTACACCCTCCAGTACATACCCACATCCTCAAGCACACCCACACCCTCTAGTACACACCCACACCCTCAGTACACACCTACACCCTCTAGTACACACCTACACCCTCTAGCACACACCCACACCTTCTAGCACACACCTACACCCACCAGTACATACCTACATCCTAGTACACACCCACACCCTCCACACACACCCACACCCTCCACACACACCTACACCCTCCAGCACACACCCACACCCCCAGTGCACACACCTCACACCCTCCACACACCCACACCCAGCACACACCCACACACCTAGCACCCACACCCAGCACACACCCACACCCAGCACACCCACACCCTCCAGTACACACCCACA